TAAAGACTAGCCTATAGACTAGACTATAGACTAGACTATAGACTAGACTATAGACTAGACTATAGACTAGACTAGACTAGACTATAGACTATAGACTATAGACTATAGACTATAGACTAAAGACTATAGACTAAAGACTATAGACTAAACTATAGACTAGACTATAGACTAGACTATAGACTAGACTATAGACTAGACTATAGACTAGACTATAGGCTAGACTATAGACTGGACTATAGACTAGACTAGACTATAGACTAGACTAGACTAGACTAGACTAGACTAGACTAGACTAGACTAGACTAGACTAGACTATAGACTAGACTAGACTATAGGCTAGACTATAGACTAGACTATAGACTAGACTATAGACTAGACTATAGACTAGGTAACAGAACTAAATGAACTTCATTCAGCTTAATGTAAACCACTGCGCCATAGCCCAAGATCTCCTAACACAGAGCATCCATGAGCTAAAAATAGACGTCGCAATCATTAGCGAACAATATAAGAACCTAGACAGGAATGTATGGGAACGAGACGCCACAAGTAGAGCAGCAGTTTGGGCCTGCGGAAACAGGTGCATAGAAGAAACCATGAGGCAGCCGGAGGCTGGATTCGCAAGAACTAAAATCGGCGGAATATATATATATATAGTTGCTATATGTCCCCAAACATACCACACTCCGACTTCGAGGGACTTATCGACAACCTTGTGAGAGATGCTGCTCATCATAACCCAATAGTTATCGGAGGAGACTTCAACGCGTGGGCACAAGATTGGGGGAGCCGCAGTACTAATGAAAGAGGAAGAATACTCCTTGATGCCTTCTTAAGGCTAGATGTAGTTCTTGTAAACAACGGGAATACCAACACTTTTAGAAGAGCGGACACTGGTTCAATCGTGGATTTAACATTTGTGAGCACAAATCTAGCTAGAAATATAGAATGGAAAGTAAGTGAACATTATACCCATAGTGACCACCAGGCTATTTTGTTCACTATAAGAAGCAAGACGCAAATACCTCGTGGAAACACAATCATCCAGGGTTGGGCAATAAAGAAATTTGATCCAAATGCCTTTACTGAGATTTTCTGCAATCACCAAATAGATGAAAGTGATATAGAAACTATGACAGAAGAAATAGTAATAACACTTAAAAGATCATGCAATGCATCTATGCCAACCAAACGATCAAACAACAGGAGACAAGAAAACTATTGGTGGAACAGCAATATTGCTTTGCTTAGAAAAAACTGTTTGAGATCCAGAAGACTGTACCAGAGATGCAAGTCGCGGATCGAACTACCATCAAGAAGATATGCCTATCACCAAGCGCGAAAAGACCTAAAAAATGCTATAAACTCAAGCAAAGCGGAATGTTTTAAGCAACTATGTAGGGAAGCTGATGCCAATCCATGGGGAAATGCATACCGTGTAGTAATGGCCCGACTTAAGGGTAAAAAAGCACAAAATATTACATGTCCTTCCCTCATAGACAATATAGTAAAAGCCCTATTTCCTGAAGGAGAACAATATACAGATGTTCCTGCCATGATCGAACCCATCGAAGTCGAAATAACTGAAGACGAAATAAAAAATATATGCACAAAAATCGGTGACAACAAAGCTCCAGGATTGGATAGCATTCCTAACAGAGCCCTAAAACTCGCGCTATCATTAAGACCAGCAGTATTCGCCCGACTATTTAAAAAATGCCTCGAAGAAGGTAAGTTCCCTGATGAATGGAAGAAACAAAAACTCATCTTGATCCCTAAGCCGGGAAAAGTCCTTGGAGAACCACAGTCATATAGACCTATATGCCTGTTGGACACTATGGGTAAATGCCTTGAAAGGATAATATATAAAAGATTATTGGATGCCACAGAGAGTGCCCAAGGCCTATCCGCTAGACAGTATGGCTTTCGAAAGGCAAAATCGACTATCGATGCGATTAAGTTCGTCATAGATACCGCCAAGAGTGCAATTACCGGCAAAGGTAAACAAAGGAAGTACTGCGCTGTCATAACACTTGACATAAAAAATGCCTTCAATTCCGCTGGGTGGAATCATATTGTAGCGTCTTTAAGACATATTAATACCCCAGAGTATCTAATAAGAATAATCAAAGATTACTTTTCTAATAGATCTTTGTGGATTAATACTGATGCAGGTATGAAAACGTACAATATTACATCCGGTGTCCCACAGGGGTCAGTCATAGGACCCCTGCTGTGGAATATTATGTACGACGGCATCTTTGGCTTAAAAATTCCCGAGGAAGCAACCATCGTAGGCTTCGCAGATGACATTGCAATACTTGTCCAAGCAAGATTCATTGACGAAGTCCAACTATATGCAAACGAGGCAATCAGATCGATTAAAGATTGGCTAAAATCAGTAAACCTTCATCTAGCAGAACAGAAGACTGAGCTTGTTTTAGTAAGTGGAAAAAGAAAACGGGAATCCTTATCAGTAATAGTAGGAGAGACCACAGTTGTGTCATCGGAAGCAATAAAGTACCTAGGAGTAATGATAGACGACCGTCTGAACTTTAAAAGACACATGGAGTATACATGTAAAAAGGCAGTTGGTGTAACAAACGCATTAGCCAGAATGATGCCGAACATCGGAGGACCACGACACAGTCGTAGACTTCTTATATCAAGTGTAATTAATTCAATACTCCTATATGGATCACCAATCTGGGAGAAAGAAATAAATAATTCATCAAAAAAAGGTGTGATTTCATTATTTAGAAGAAACTGCTTAAGAGTGTGTAGTGGCTTCCGGACTATATCAGGGGAAGCAGCAAATGTAATCGCAGGAATAGTACCCATAGATATAACCATGAAGGAAATGTCGAATGTATATAATACGTTACGGGAAAATCCGGAGATCCCCAAAAACCAAATTCGGAAAACTGAAAGAGAAAAAGCCATAGCAAGTTGGCAAAGAAGATGGGAAAACTCTCCTAAAGGCCGTTGGACCTTCAGACTAATACCTAATATTAATACGTGGATACATCGGCCACATGGTGAAGTGAATTACAACCTAACTCAATTCCTTACGGGACATGGCGGATACAGAAGTTACCTGCATCGCTTCGGTCACGATAGCACTCCCCGATGCCCAGAATGCGCCGAAGAGGATGAAACGGCGGAACACGTCACATTCGTATGTCCAAGATTTTTAAGTAACCGAAACACACTAGAATCTAATCTAGGTGAAAGTATAACGGTAACCAACATAACCAGCATAATGCTGAAATCCCAAGAGAAATGGGACGCAGTTAATAGGTTTATGAACGATATAAACAAAACATTACGCGAAGCGGAAATTGTCCGTAAAATGGCCCTCAGCAGTGCATCACAAAATGTGATAGAGTAAGAAACGAAGAGTTCCCTATTATGGGCAAACCCCCCCGCGAAGTAATACCAATTGGCAGTCCCGCGGGGAGTGGGGAAGTAAGGGGGTGTGGTTTAGTACGTAGACGCCTAGGCGAGTCGTGCATGTTTTCCAACACGGGCTGGATACATCTTTTGAAGATTCCACACCTCCGGCGCAACAAAAAAAAAAAAAAACTATAGACTAGACTATAGACTAGACTATAGACTAGACTATAGACTAGACAATAGACTAGACTATAGACTAGACTATAGACTAGACTATAGACTAGACTATAGACTAGACTATAGACTAGACTATAGACTAGACTATAGACTAGACTATAGACTAGACTTTAGACTAGACTATAGACTAGACTATAGATTAGACTATAGACTAGACTATAGATTAGACTATAGACTAGACTATAGACTAGACTATAGACTAGACTATAGACTAGACTATAGACTAGACTATAGACTAGACTATAGACTAGACTATAGACTAGACTATAGACTAGACTATAGACTAGACTATAGACTATACTATAGACTAGACTATAGACTAGACTATAGACTAGACTATAGACTAGACTATAGACTAGACTATAGACTAGACTATAGACTAGACTATAGACTAGACTATAGACTAGACTATAGACTAGACTATAGACTAGACTATAGACTAGACTATAGACTAGACTATAGACTAGACTATAGACTAGACTATAGACTAGACTATAGACAAGACTATAGACTAGACTATAGACTAGACTATAGACTAGACTATAGACTTGACTATAGACTAGACTATAGACTAGACTATAGACTAGACTATAGACTAGACTATAGACTATAGACTAGACTATAGACTAGACTATAGACTAGACTATAGACTAGACTATAGACTAGACTATAGACTAGACTATAGACTAGACTATAGACTAGACTATAGACTAGACTATAGACTAGACTATAGATTAGACTATAGACTAGACTATAGACTAGACTATAGACTAGACTGTAGACTAGACTATAGCCTAGACTGTAGACTAGACTATAGACTAGACTATAGACTGACTATAGACTAGACTAAAAACTAGATTATAAACTAGACTATAGACTAGACTATAGACTAGGCTATATACAAGACTATAGACTAGACAATAGACTAAACTATAGACTAGACTATGGACTATAACATAGACTAGACTATAGAATAGACTAAACTATAGACTATGCTATAGACTAAACTATTGACTAGGCTATAGACTAGACTATAGACTAAACTATATACTAGAGTAAAGACTAGACTCTCTTAACTTTATATCTTTAAGTAAAACTTTTTGATAAAAAGCCAGTATTAAAAAATTATAAAAATAAATACGCAATTCTTTAAAGTAAATATTAGAAAAAAAATACAACTGTATGTTTCTTTCCTCTTTTTGCTAAAACTACTGTGTCAATAATGATCAGAAACAAAATATAACAACAAAATATTTAAAATGAAAAAAAAAAAAAAAATAACAAAAACAAACATAAGACACTTTTAAACTGTATAAAGAGCCACGTTTTGCTAAACTTATTAATTAGTTCTATTTGGGAAGTTTAACATGCGTTTTCATCTAATTTTCGTGTTCGCTTTATTCTTGGCTGTGGTACATGCTCAAGCAGTTCCTTCAACTGGCGGTAACAATGAAGTGCAACCTTTAATTGTGGGTGTTTTTGAAGGAATTAAGCCAGAAGGTGTCAAAAGCGAAGAGGATGAGGAAGAAGAAGAGGACGATGATCAGGATGTTGTAGTGCAAGATGCTGAAGATGACGAAGATGAAAATGGTGAGGATGAGGGAGATAATAATGAAGATGTTGAGGAAGAAGAAAGTAGTGGTGATGATGATGTAGAAGATAATGAAGTAAATGGTGACGATTCTGATCAAAATGTGGATAACGATGAAGATGATGACGTTGTTGAAAATGATGAGGAAAACGACGATGACAACCAATCTGTCGAAGAGGACAATGTTTCAGAATCACATCACATTCCCAAACCTAGACCTTTACCACCACATCAACGTCACAGCTTTTTAAGAGGACAATTTCAAAAGAAAAGAGAATAAAAAACTTTTAAACAGCTAAAGTCAAAAAAGCACTAATTGAAACAAGTTTATAAAAACAGTTAAGAGTTACTTAATTAAATTTCTAGATAGTTTTTAACATGCATCGACATTCAGTTCACGATATATATGAATAAATTTTGACTTTTTTAATAAAAGATAGGTCGTTAATTCCATGCCCCAATGTGTTAACAATGACTAGACTATGCCTAGACTATGACTAGGGACTAGACTGAATAGACTATGGACTAGACTATGACTAGGACCTATGGACTCAGATATGACTAGACTATGACTAGGACTATGGACTGGACTATGACTAGAATGACTAGGACTATGACTAGACTCTGACTAGACTATGGACTATGACTATGACTAGGACTATGACTAGACTATGACTAGACTATGACTAGACTATGACTAGACTATGGACCTAGGACTACTAGACTAGGACTAGGACTAGACTATGACTAGACTATGACTAGACTAGACTAGAGACTATGACTAGACTATGACTAGACTATGACTAGACTATGACTAGACTATGACTAGCCTATGACTAGACTAGACTATGACTAGACTATGACTAGACTATGACTAGACTATGACTAGACTATGACTAGACTATGACTAGACTATGACTAGACTATGACTAGACTATGACTAGACTATGACTGGACTATGACTAGACTATGACTAGACTATGACTAGACTATGACTGGACTATGACTAGACTATGACTAGACTATGACTAGACTATGACTAGACTATGACTAGACTATGACTAGACTATGACTAGACTATGACTAGACTATGACTAGACTATGACTAGACTATGACTAGACTATGACTAGACTATGACTAGACTATGACTAGACTATACTAGACTATAGACTAGACTATAGACTAGACTATAGACTAGACTATAGACTAGACTATAGACTAGACTATAGACTAGACTATAGACTAGACTATAGACTAGACTATAGACTAGACTATAGACTAGACTATAGACTAGACTATAGACTAGACTATAGACTAGACTATAGACTAGACTATAGACTAGACTATAGACTAGACTATAGACTAGACTATAGACTAGACTATAGACTAGACTATAGACTAGACTATAGACTAGACTATAGACTAGACTATAGACTAGACTATAGACTAGACTATAGACTAGACTATAGACTAGACTATAGACTAGACTATAGACTAGACTATAGACTAGACTATAGACTAGACTATAGACTAGACTATAGACTAGACTATAGACTAGACTATAGACTAGACTATAGACTAGACTATAGACTAGACTATAGACTAGACTATAGACTAGACTATAGACTAGACTATAGACTAGACTATAGACTAGACTATAGACTAGACTATAGACTAGACTATAGACTAGACTATAGACTAGACTATAGACTAGACTATAGACTAGACTATAGACTAGACTATAGACTAGACTATAGACTATACTATAGACTAGACTATAGACTATACTATAGGACTGACTATAAGACTAGACTATGACTAAGACTATAGACGAGACTATAGACTAGACTATAGACTAGACTATAGACTAGACTATAGACTAGACTATAGACTAGACTATAGACTAGACTATAGACTAGACTATAGACCTAGACTATAGACAGACTATAGACTACTATAGACTAGACTATAGACTAGACATATATAGACTATAGACTAGACTATACTAGACTATAGACTAGCTATAGACAGACTATAGACTAGACTATAGACTAGACTATATACTAGACTATGACTAACTATAGACTAACTATAGACTAGACTATAGACTAGACTATAGACTAGACGATAGACAGACTAATAGACTAGACTATAGACTAGACTATAGACTGACTATAGACTAGACTAGACTAGACTATAGACTAGACTATAGACTAGACTATAGACTAGATGACTAGACTATAGACTAGACTATAGACTAGACTATAGACTAGACTATAGACTAGACTATAGACTAGACTATAGACTAGACTATAGACTAGACTATAGACTAGACTAGACTAGACTAGAGACTAGACTATAAGACTAGACTATAGACTAGACTATAGACTAGACTATAGACTAGACTATATACTAGACTATAGACTAGACTATAGACTAGACTATAGACTAGACTATAGACTAGACTATAGACTAGACTATAGACTAGACTATAGACTAGACTATAGACAAGACTATAGAGTACACTATAGACTGCAGACTAGACTATAGACTGGACTATGGACTAGAGTAGTCTATAGACTAGACAATGGACTATGACTATAGTCTAAAGATAATTCATCATTATGAGTACATCATTTCATAAGAGCTACATAATTTCATAACTAACCACAGTTTTGAGTTTATTTCATAAAATACTATGCAAATTAGACTTTTATTCTAACAAATAGCTAAAATATTCATACGCTAATAAAGCCACTCTGGTAAATATTTGAAATAATATCAAATGATAAAACACAGCTAATAAATAAATAAGTATACTTGAAAATGTATACTCAATTGCAATCGAAAACATTTATTTGAATTAATTTTATTTTTATTGCAAATAATAACGGTATTATAATCTACAAAGTTAAACTTGTGCAAAGTAGCGACTTTGCTAGGCCTTTAAGCGAAAATAGGTTAAGTGACAAAATTTTAAAATTTCATAATTTTATATGAATTTTTATCTTCTTTTTGCTAAATTTGTGAAAATAAGACAATCTAGAACTAGCAGTTGCTACAGTGATATTTCAAAATTTATCACTTAGCCATTTTTTGTGTTAAAGCTGGTATATTTATTAATAATTTTAAATTTGTTTGTTTGCTTTTCACTTTTATTGGAATGAATATATTTGCTTCATAATTAATTCTTTATTTTATTTGATGCATTAGCAGCTGTTGTAAAAGATGGATGGATTATAATCTATATGATAAAATTGTTGTATTCTGGGTATTATTTTTAATGATTTTTGCTAATGATGTTGTCTTAATCATTGTGCACATTAAATGTTTTTTCCTTAATCTTTATGATGGACTTTTATTATTCTTAAAGAAAATTTAATTAATTTTTTGGGGAAATTTTAAAGAAATGTTTTAAGAATAGCTGATATAATAAAAAGTCATATTCAGTCATAGTCTAGTCATAGTCTAGTCATAGTCTAGTCATAGTCTAGTCATAGTCTAGTCATAGTCTAGTCAGTCTAGTCATAGTCTAGTCATAGTCTAGTCATAGTCTAGTCATAGTCTAGTCATAGTCTAGTCATAGTCTAGTCATAGTCTAGTCATAGTCTAGTCATAGTCTAGTCATAGTCTAGTCATAGTCTAGTCATAGTCTAGTCATAGTCTAGTCATAGTCTAGTCATAGTCTAGTCATAGTCTAGTCATAGTCTAGTCATAGTCTAGTCATAGTCTAGTCATAGTCTAGTCATAGTCTAGTCATAGTCTAGTCATAGTCTAGTCATAGTCTAGTCATAGTCTAGTCATAGTCTAGTCATAGTCTAGTCATAGTCTAGTCATAGTCTAGTCATAGTCTAGTCATATAGTCTAGCCATCATAGTCTAGTCATAGTCTAGTCATAGTCTATTCTATAGTCTAGTCATAGTCTAGTCATAGTCTAGTCATAGTCTAGTCATAGTCTAGTCATAGTCTAGTCATAGTCTATCATAGTCCTAGTCATAGTCTAGTCATAGTCTAGTCATAGTCTATAGTCCTAGTCATAGTCTAGTCATAGTCTAGTCATAGTCTAGTCATAGTCAGTCAAGTCTAGTCATAGTCTAGTCATAGTCTAGTCATAGTCTAGTCATAGTCTAGTCATAGTCTAGTCATAGTCTAGTCATAGTCTAAGTCAGAGTCTAGTCATAGTCTAGTCATAGTCTAGTCATAGTCTAGTCATAGTCTAGGTCATAGTCTAGTCTAGTCTAGTCATAGTCTAGTCATAGTCTAGTCATAGTCTAGTCATAGTCTAGTCATAGTCTAGTCATAGTCTAGTCATAGGTCTAGTCATAGTCTAGCTAGTCTAGTCATAGTCTAGTCATAGTCTAGTCATAGTCTAGTCATAGTCTAGTCATAGTCTAGTCATAGTCTAGTCATAGTCTAGTCATAGTCTAGTCATAGTCTAGTCATAGTCTAGTCATAGTCTAGTCATAGTCTAGTCATAGTCTAGTCATAGTCTAGTCATAGTCTAGTCATAGTCTAGTCATAGTCTAGTCATAGTCTAGTCATAGTCTAGTCATAGTCTAGTCATAGTCTAGTCATAGTCTAGTCATAGTCTAGTCATAGTCTAGTCATAGTCTAGTCATAGTCTAGTCATAGTCTAGTCATAGTCTAGTCATAGTCTAGTCATAGTCAGTCATAGTCTAGTCATAGTCTAGTCATAGTCTAGTCATAGTCTAGTCATAGTCTAGTCATAGTCTATCAGTCTAGTCATAGTCTAGTCATAGTCTAGTCATAGTCTAGTCATAGTCGTCATAGTCTAGTCATAGTCTAGTCATAGTCTAGTCATAGTCTAGTCATAGTCTAGTCATAGTCTAGTCATAGTCTAGTCATAGTCTAGTCATAGTCTAGTCATAGTCTAGTCATAGTCTAGTCATAGTCTAGTCATAGTCTAGTCATAGTCTAGTCATAGTCTAGTCATAGTCTAGTCATAGTCTAGTCATAGTCTAGTCATAGTCTAGTCATAGTCTAGTCATAGTCTAGTCATAGTCTAGTCATAGTCTAGTCATAGTCTAGTCATAGTCTAGTCATAGTCTAGTCATAATCTAGTCATAATCTAGTCATAGGCTTGTTATAGTTTAGTCGTCTTTTTATAATAGTCTTGTGACAGTCTATTCATATCATATTACTCATAGTCTGGTCGTATTCTAGTTATAGTCTAAGCATATTTCTATGAAAGAGATCACAATCACAAATTTAAACAAGTGAATTGGCTAAATTCTTTCATTTCAGAAACACCTGTGCAA